TTATACCTCGAGAAATTTGTACAAAATCTGATTCAGCTATACAATTTTTGGATTGAGAATTTTTCTTTAAAGAAAGGTTTCAAAGAACAATAGCTTTACCTTTATCATTATGATCCTCTTGATTATGTGATGAACTTGGAATATCTAAGTTTTGATTTTCTGGTAGACTATACTTTACTAAAAAATCATATTTACCACTAGGTTGTCCTAACAAATCCCAAATTTCTTTACTTTTCTCTGCAGCAGATTTATCAGTCTGTTGAGTCTGAACAAATGTTCTAGTAGAAGAATCAACAATCTTCTGAGTCTGTTGAACTTTTGGCAAGTTCATAGCCATCAACGGATTTGAAAAATCTTTACCAACTACCGTTTGAGTTGGATTAGCTATTGACTTCTTAGGCTCAATATGTTCAGATATTTAGAAACTTTTTTAGGAGAAATTGTTAAAGGTATGTGGGAGGCATTTAAATCCGAAAAGAAAGAAGAATTTGATCAGTTAGTTAGTATGGGTAGTAATCCTTATAATTTTGTTAATAAAATTCAAATTCTAATAACAGGAGCAGATTCAAATTCAGTCCCTTTTAAGAACCCATATTTTTTTCTAAAAAGCCTTATCATACTAGCACAATTCAAAATAAAAAATTTCTTAGCCCCTTCTTGGTTCCCTTTATTTTATTTTAATTTATTTTTCATACTCATTCTCAATCACACTTTCATGCATTAAAATATTTTAAACATAAATTCAAAAAAAAATTTCACTTTTTGTCCACAAATTCTCAAAAGAATACTATATTTTGAACTGAAGGCCACTAAACAGAGACTTAATGGACCCAACATTTTCTTTTTTTTCTCTAAAAAGCCTATCACAATTCACATCACTTTTTTAAATGAATGCAAAACTTCTTAATTGAATAAAACTTCCATAACCTTTAGTCATTAATATATTTATATCTCTAGATTTTTTCATCGAATTCTCATTCTCAAATTAGCATAAGTTATTCCTGATGAGAGTTTTTGTAACGACTCGAACCTTATGTCTGACCTTTTTTTACGTACTGTCAGTTTTAAGAAGCATTTGCTCTCTTACCTCTCAACTTTTTGTCTCTCCCAAAATTCAACATAAATCTCTCATAATATGGATGTCTTGGATTCGAATTGTGAGAGACACGATAGAAAATCACGAGAGGTAAGAAGACAGACGCCCTCCCAAAGCGGATAGTAATAAGAGAATGATCAGGCATGACGCTCCAATCGATTAAAAAATGTACATATTTTTGTAAAGACCCAGTTTCTCTTTTTCTAGTTTTTTCAAAACTCAAAAAGGAAACCAAAAACCAATAACTTGCAGCTCTAGAATGCAAAGAGAAATGGGTTTGAAGTGAGAAATCGGTGGGATTAAATTAGAGGGTTCGAAAACTGTAGATTATTAAAAATGATGAAAGACCTGCCTCTTGCCATGAATAGTATAATATCATAATTCATAAGCCCTTTCGTAAATTATAGAGTTAATTGTCCCGTCTCTTCGATTGTTTACTAAAATTTCACATGTCGAGATTAAACAACTAAACTTCTCAAAATATTGAACGTTACTCATTGGAATGACTTCTGTTTCGCGACTATAATGGAATGGATGACGTGGTATGATAAGTGTGTTTTTACACACTTATTAGGCACTTTTTGGATCTAATTATAATTGAAATTGAGTCGATTTCTAAGCATAATTGTGTAATTTTCACTTTTGCAGGCTAAACTCCCTACAAGAAAGACACCAAGAAAAGGAAAGGAAAAAGGACTTAAAGCGTATAAAATTGTGAAGTTTGGGACCAAGTTGCACAAGTACCGGA